TTATAGTCTTGGCCTTCACAACATCCTCTGGCAAAGAGTTCCACAGATTGACTGTGCGTTGTGTGAAGATTAAAATGAGATGTGGGTAGGCTGACCAGATGTCCCGATTTTATAGGGCCAGTCCCACTATTTGGAGCTTTGCCTTATATAGGCACCAACTGCCCCCGCTCCCCCATCCCCGTCCTGATTTTTCACACTTGCTGTCTGGTTACTCTAGGTGTGGGCAGGCTACCACATGAAGAGAGACTGAAAACCTTGAAAGTATTTAGCTTAGTGAAGAGTAAGAGGAGGCATGATGGAGGCATACAAAACATTGGTATACAAAAGGTAAATCAAATGTATCACTTATCCTTTCATTAAAAAGCTACAAATTTAAAACTGATAAAAGGAAAAAAGGGTTTTACAACATCCGTAAAATAATCTGTGAAAAATCACTGCCACAGGTTATCATTGAGGCTGCTTAGCAGGATTCTAAATAAAAGATTAACATGGATAATGCAAACATCCACAACTACATTAGACAGATGTAACCAATATAAGAGATGTACATCTTTACACTTCAGGGCATACCACTAACTGATACAGATTAGGAAGAAACTTTCATTGTAAATCAAGTGATTTTCATATTTGTCCACTACAGCATTTTTTTTTTTGTGTGCACCTTCCACTGAAGCAGTTGATACTGGCCACTATTAGAGACAGGATATTGTGGGTGCCTTGTCACTTTACGTTGTCATATTCTGCAATCTGACACTGTAAAAAAATGCTTTGTGACAACTGACCAAAATGACGAAACACCTTTCTTCTAAGAAATTATATTTGTTTTTTAATAAATGTTTGCAGTTTCCTGCTTGTAGTTTCCACTGATGTGGAAGTACAGTCCCTGTGCTAAATTCTCCTCTTAGCTATTCTGGTGTGATCCCATTGATTTAATTCCCATGAATGACAAGGTTACTGGGCCAAAGAGCTCTCTCCCATTTAATAGTCAAACATCAGTAATGCACTGTAGGAAGGTGCAGAACTTTTCTGATGACTCCTTCTGGAAGCCAATTTGGGTGACTCTGATTAGCTTTACTCCAGAACATAAAAGGAAAGAGAGGCCTTGAGGGAAAGGTAGGAGCTCCTAGAGCAGAGGTGGCCAAACTTACTGATCCTCCAAGCCGCATATGATAATCTTCAGAAGTTCAATAGCCAGGCGCACCTGCTCGGGGCTTCTGCCCTGTGATAGGGTGGTGGGGCGCCTGCCGAGGCCTGGGCCTTCAGCAAGAGGGTAGGTGCCTCGTGCAGGGCTGAGGCGCCTAGACCCCCGCCCCACTGGGCAGAAGGCCCTAGTCCCACCACCCTGCCACAGGGCAGAAGCCCCAAGTTCTCCCACTTCCCCAATCTGGCAGGTGGAGGCGGGGGCCTCCACAAGCTGCACTTTTACTGTAAAAGAGCCACATGTGGCTTGTGAGATGCAGTTTGGCTACCCCTGTCCTATAGGGAGAAATATTAATCGTCAGGAAATGTGCAGAAAGAAGCTTATGCAGAGGAGGGGATTTAGGACTTCTGTTTGTAAGTACAGTCATGTCCGTTCACTTGGGTCCCAGCATGCTTTCAGTTACACACCAGTGTTACTGCAGAGTAAATCCATGTTCCTGTAATTAAAGACTGTGGGTCTACTTCTCCACACCACTGCCATAGATTTATACTGGTGCAACTCCACCTCATGACAGCACTTTGCTGGAGTTGCTCTAGCATAAGACTGGGACAAGGGAGTGAGGAAAAAATCAGACGCTATGATTTAATTCATATTCCCTAACTTTTGAGTACTTCATTTTCCAACCTTCAAATGTTTAATGTCAAGTTTTTGATGGACTTTCCTTCCTCTTTTTTTTTTTGAAAGTAAAAGAAAAGAAACTCTGATGTGGAGCTACTTGCTAGATAGCAACACAACATTCTACCCTGCACATAATGTGCAGTTTCTGAGGTCAAGGCTCATGTCCTGCTTCACTGAGTATGCACTTTGCATGCTGAACGAAAGTTTTCGAACAGCTTATATGGGGGCAAGAGTGTGTGTGAGTAGTATAACCACACAAAACAGAAGGAGTTTGAGAGCAGACAGAGGACTGAGAGGCTATGAAAAAGCAGCAGTAGCAAATGCCTATCAGGAGTGCATATCGGGTGATGTGTGTGGAGCCTGTGATTATATTACTGGAGTGGCCTCCCCAAATTGATTGTGATACAGTCTTCCTACAAAACTGACTACAGATGGTGCTAGGTACAAAGTGACTCCTCAGTTTCATTTCTACAGCACAGTAAAGTACTGGCAAATGAATTTCAACTCTGTGCAATGGGCCAGCACAAGACCTATTTACTACTTACTCTCTTAAAATAACTCTTATGTTGACCTCCTGCTCAGTGCTGATCTGCCTCAGCAGCCATATAACAAACATATACAGGATGCAATTCTATTTCGCAGAAACTTCTTGTTTCAGCTGGTGCAGAAGATTAGCATGCTGTTTCAGCTTGTGTGTGCGTTGGAGAAAAAAAGAATGACTGAAGTGAGCCCAAACTTTGTGGATGGCATATTTTCCATATTAGCACATTGCCTAGGAAGTTCTGAACTAGGAAATCAAGACAATTTGAAAGTTATGACAGGTTTCAGAGGGGTAGCCATGTTAATCTGTATCAGTAAAAACAACGAAGAGTCCTTGTGGCACCTTAGAGACTAACAAATTTATCTGGGCATAAGCTTTCGTGGGATATAACCCACTTCATCAGATGTATGGAGTGGAAAAATAATTTTCCCTCTGTTGATACTCACACCTTCTTGTCAACTGCTGGGAATGGGCCACATCCACCCTAATTGAATTGGCCTCATTAGCACTAACCCCCCACTCGGTAAGGCAACTCCCATCTTTTCATGTGCTATATATTTATTCCTGCTTACTGTATTTTCCACTCCATGCATCTGATGAAATGGGTTATATCCCACGAAAGCTTATGCCCAAATAAATTTGTTAGTCTCTAAGGTGCCACAAGGATTCCTCGTTGTTTTTACTGAAAGTTATGAGACATGCATACACATTTTTCAGCCATACTAATAGCAGGCATTAGATTGATATAATTATCTGAACCCAGGGATCAGAGAAACAAGAGTATATCATCCCTTTAAGCTCACCAGACAGCTTCTGAAGAACATTCACTGAAGTGTTAGACTTTCCAAAGTTGCATACTCCTTACTCTGGATCTAAATGTAGGATAACTTTAATCATAATTAAGTGACAAATATATCATCAGCAGGATTAAAATTTAAAATTACCTTGTTGAATAACACCAGCAACAATGGAGAGATATTCCGCGGGATCCTGATCGGTGGAGATCTCTTGGCTTCTTTGGTCTAAGGTCAGTATCTCATGTAGAACGTCTGAGTTCTCCACCCCACAAAGTAGAATCACTACCCTACCTGGAGGCTCAAGGACCCTGTCCAAGAAATATCTTCTCTTTTGATCCAAGCATTTTAGAAGTCCATTTGATAGTATGAGCAGTTTACATCTATAACAGGATAGAGAGTGTGACCCCAGATGCTGAAAAGATAAAGTCTCTAGGTTGTAAAGTAAGATTCCTTCTTCCTTTATAATGTGTTTGAAAAGCGATTTTAAATACAGAGCCCATTCTTCTGCCTCTTCTTCGTAAATCACCAGAATGTCCTTTGTATTTTCTGTAGGAAAGAAAACATTTTTAACCTCCATTTTATCTAATATCCACAGCTAGCATGTTAGATTTTTTCTCTTTGTAATCTGAAACAGAATGGTAGAGATAGAAAATTGGATTTTCAACTGTTTGCAGAAAAAAATTGAACTTTATGTTCCAAACCAGAACATAAATATTTTTGAAATTTCCTGTGGAATAGAAATTCTGATAAAATATCCCTTTTGAAAGTTTTGTTTAGGAAAATTTTTGAACTTGTTTCAAAACAAAATATGTTTAATGTTTTCCTTTTCATAGTATTTATTGTCTTTATGTTTCATTATGTCTCATTAGCAGTAGTAGTAGTGAATCTCACATATCATGTCATATTATGCAGACAAAGTATAATATTCAAAACAATTACTTTCTTATTTTTATTGTATTTTATTTACAAAAAAAATATTGGTGCAGCTGCTACTTAGTACAGATTAAAGCACCTTATTTTGTTGTTGAAAATGTCTCTTGTTTGTGATGTAATGAAGTAGTTTGACACTTTCAATAAGAAAATAATTGTTAAAGTGTCAAACTGTTTAATTACAACTTGAACAGGAGACACTAATCTAGAAAATAAGGAAGTGTTTTGATCTAAAAAGTAATAGAATACTTTGAGTATATTCTGTCCTCATAATATGACATACCACATTATGACATGATTTGACATAGATGATTGGTATGTCATTTTATGCACTACAACAATTGACGTATTGGGAACTGGGTTGGTTGTTTTTTCTATATATTTATTTTAAAATATTAATGTAAATGCTAATCTAATAAAACTGGGAATAGTTCAGCATCCGGCAAGTTGCTGCAGCTAGAGAAACAAAAGGAAATGTCAAATAAAGTAGGTAACGGCACACCCATGATGCTGACATTATAGATGATAGGATGCCATTGACACCACTGATATATTGATCAACAACAGTATACAGCAAAATACAATATGACATCAAACGAATTAATACAGTTCTATCCCTTTAAGCTCTTTTCTGTTGTAAGGATTATAGAAATATATTCTAATAGCAATTGTCACAAAGTTGATCACAGCTGGTTCTAAGCACCAGCATCCACAGACTACATAGTTTTAGCTCAGTAATACAGGTTTGTATGCTATGGATCATATTCGACACTCAGTTATAACGATGTAAATCTGAAGTAACAACACTGACGAAATTACACCTGCTTTATGCCATTTTAAGTGTGAACAGAATTTGGCCCAACATATTTGATAATTATATTAATTTAAAAGCTCCGGTTTTAGATATCTCTTAATAGAAAGCACCAAATGAACCAGAAAGTTCATTTCTATCCCACTATACACTAGTTATTTTGATTTTTTTAAAATACTGTAAACAAACAAAGCTTAGCCATGGGATCTGCATAGCTCTTATAGACATAGAAACACATACCACACAACAGCACACACCAACAATAAATACTAATCAATTACAGAATTAAAAATTCATAAATCAAACATCCTCTGTCATTTATATATTACATGTGCAGTAGAACAGTGGCATAAGTACATGACCCTTTGTGCAAGAAACAATGCTTATGTAATGAAGATTTTCTGCAGAGTCTATTCAGGTCAAATCCTAAGGTCTAACTTGGGTAATTATAGGGCCCCACCACCATAGTTACTGAGCACCTCACAATCTTTATTATATATACTCACAGAGAGAGAGCGCCTCAGAACACCCTGGTGATTATTCCCATTTTACAGATAGAGATCTAAAGAACAGAGAGACTAAATGACTTGTCCAAAGTCACACAGGGCACAGCAGGGAAGAAAGCCCAGATCTCAAGAGCCCTAGATTAGCGATATCACCATTTCAGGGTAACGGCTCCTGTGTCACCAGTTCTGTGATACACTCCAGGCGTTCCCAGTCAGGTCTCCAGTTTCCCTCAATCACCTATCTCTATGTAGGGACCCTTATAATACTGTCTTCTGACCAGGGGTTTTTAAGCCTGCACAGTTCCCTGCCTTACACTGTGATATCCCCAGCAAGCCAGCCTGCCAAAAAGTCAGCCCCTGTGCTTTGCTTTCTCTCCGAGGGCTACGATCAGCATACTGCCAGCAGTTACAAGTTACCACACTGCTCTTTCTAAGCAAGCACCTTTATTCTTAAGGAAAAGACATTACATAAGGTAAAGGCATTACACAAGACAAAACATAAGGACACAACAAAAATTCGTATACACACGCAAAAAGCTTACATTTTTGTCACGGGTATTTTTAGTAAAAGTCATGGACAGGTCAGGAGCAGGAAACAAAAATTCACGGCCTGTGAGCGGTCCATGATTTGTATTATATACCCCTGACTAAATCTTGGGTACTCAGGGGGCGGCCCAGAGGCGCCATGGGTGCTCTGGGGGCGGGCTGACAGCTTGAGGCCCGAGACCCCTGCTGCTGCTGTGGGGCAGGCGTAGTTGCCCGAGACTGACGCACGGCCGCTGCAGAAGTCACAGAGGTCCCAGAAAGTCACGGAATCCGTGACTTCTGTGACCTCCGTGACAGACTCGCAGCATTATCTATGGGGTCTTAGTAGGTCAAAGTCCTTCCAACTCTTTGGCAAGGGTTGAGCCTCCCTCCCTTGGACAGAAGGCTCTGTCCGTTTGCTGGATCCGAAAAAAGGCTTTGAGTCAGTTTACCTGCAGCCTTTTTCTGCCAAAAGCCCTTTGTCTGCTGGTCGCTGGAAAACCCACCTTAAACCAGTATATGGAAAGCAATCCAGGATATGGTACCTCTTTAGAGTTGGTTAGTCTTAGTAATTCACCTTAGTCCCTCCCACCATTTGTAGTTCCTAGAGAAGCTGTGCTAACCCTCCAACATGGAGTAGAACAGACATACATAATACTATTCATAGGTATAAAATAATATGGTCTGCAAAGATACTGCGATCGCCTGCAATATCTGTCAAGTGTATTGCCACTGGACCATCATTCCTTTCTTAGCTTCTAATCCAGGGGTTGGCAACCTTTGGCAGACGGCCCATCAGGGTAATCCGCTGGCAGGCCGCGAGACATTTTGTTTACGTTGACCGTATGCAGCCATGGCCCCCTGCAGCTCCCAGTGGCCGCGGTTTGCGGTTCCAGCCTGCACCGTTTCCTGCAGCTCCCATTGGCCGGCAACAGCGAACTGCAGCCACTGGGAGCTGCGGGGGGCCATGCCTGCGGAGGGTCAACATAAACAAAATTTCTCACGGCCCACCAGCAGATTATCCTGATGGGCC